TAAGCATGACATAAGGGTGATTGACGTCCAATGATGCATCAGGGTGGAAGAATAGAAGGACCGAGATGAAGCACGAGCACGGACGTGTCCACTCCGTCTAGGCTGACGTCCACCTGGAAGGTTACCACGCAACACCCATCCGCGTACACAACAACACTCAGCAAGAGTCGTGGCTTCTCGATCCGATGTATATACCTCCAACCGCAAAGAATGCTGTCGCGATAGCAACAAGATCATGTCGTTTGAGCGATGGGACAAGCAATATCAATGACCACATCAACACGAAAGCAACACATCCCAAAGCGATGATGCGCTTCGGATCGGAATCCAAGCCGTTCAGCAATGCCAACGTGCCCGTGAGAAGTAGCGGCACGTAGAAACCAACGAAGTAGTGCATCGATGTACGCACAGCCTGGAGACTGATATATTTGGTTGGTGATGAGTCATCCAGTGGAGGCCAACGGAATAACCAGCCGAGGACCGCATACATACTCCTGTAGATGGATTTGGCATGCTTGAGCAGGAAGTTGGTAATGTAATCTTCTTCGTCAAGACCTTTCAAGGCGCACAGCTCCTCGTCGGCTGGAACTTTCTGATATCTGGCCGCAGCTTCCCCTGTCGGTCCATAAAAACCATCCATGAAGAGTCCCTTGAATTCTGCGAAGTGGCGAGCGTATACAAGGTTCTGCTCAGGAAGGTTCGCAACCTGGTGAGTAAGAATAAGGTCTTTGCCTACATTACTTCTGTTAACGGAAGTATAGTGACATCAATAAAGGTTCCTACGTACTATAGCCTCGAACAAGAATGTCTAGATCTTTGATCAAGAGTTTCAGTTTCGGATGTTGTTCGACATCGTGCGCGGGATGGAAATCAGTCACCCGAAACACGCTCGTCTCGCGTGATATCCCTTCGATGTCCGCGATTGCATCGTTGCACTCCTTGACCTTGTTTTCGATCAGCAACACCTGTCGGTTCAACCGCCACGACGAGATGTCCAAGAATTGACGAAATTTGGCAAGTTCTGGAGTTTGTACAAACTCATCATACAAGAAGGAGTAACGATGTCGGAGGCCTTGCATCTTGCCGAGGCAGATAACTCGACACTTTGCCTATCTAGGATGTATGAAAGAACGAGAGAATGGACGATTAACCGCTCCAAGATTCGCTGCCGCTATTGAGCAGGTATAGAATAGACGAGCATTTTGCAACAGTAGCGTCACAAGTATATATACTATCGCGGACCATTTCGCCGGTCAGTTGAGGGACCTGGACGTATGAGGTCAAAGCCGCATTTGGAACGACTTCCCTTCTCATCGAACACCATGCTCGAGCCCCCAACTGGATCGTACGGTAAAGCGGACCATTGAGCTTGCACATTCGAACAACATCTTATTCTCAGAGTCCGGTATCCGAGCACGAGCGTAGTGAAGGTGTGCCAACAGCAAATAGCTATGCAACACAACATCCATTAGCTTCACCGGTCGACAACGCAATTCACTGCAGCACCACCCAGATTAGATACCAGGCTGAGCTAGAAGCTGTATGTGATCATACAAGCGGTGAGTTGTGTTGACCAAAACGACAGTCATGCCCGGGCAATGCCACCAAGCCAATCCCCCCTGGTATGTCGATCTGCATATCACTCTCGAGCAACTGGGTCGACTTTCAACATGTCGTAGTCTGAGGGAAAGACTGCATGCTACTCCATCTAGGATCAGGCACACCCAGGACTGAGAATTGCACCGACCAAACATATTATGCCAGACTAGCCACTGGCATCCTGTATGACTGGTACACAACGACCGTGTGCTGAGCCATCAGGCCCAAATGTGCACTTTCATGTGCCGCTAATCCGCTGCATAGGATGCAGCTTCCCACCTTGCGCATGATTACGTGCGTCCCCGTCGAGGGGCGCGATGCTAGCGAGCACGTTTGGCCGGAACCAAACCTCAACCTAAGGGAACTACGGATATACTGCGCGGCCAGGATTACCATTGTTGTTCCACATTTGCATAGTATCGGTACTTTTGGTATCGTGGACTCTTGATAATTGTCCATGCAGGGGATGAAGTTGGGCCATTTGCTTGTGAGCAGAACCGTATCCTGGACGTCGCCCCCCACCATCGCCAAAGATACGCAAACCCATGCGCCAGCAACCAGCTACTACGAAGCCACGGCGCCAGGCGATGCGAGTGCGTTTCATCAGCGGCACGGCTAGCAGCGACACCCTTCACAAGATCGATGTGCTCAGCCCACCATCCCGCGAACAGCGCGACGACCGAGTTTCGAATTGAACGCGCGAATGCATTGTTGCTATTCACGCTGTCAGATGACTCCGCGCCAGATGCCGTGCAACATTGACAAAGCGCTACAGGCGAGAATCCCGACACTATGCAGCTTTCAGGCCCTAGGAAGAGAATGCCTCATTGCCTGCTCAACTTCCTTCACCGGGCACTTTTACACTGCTTCGATAACAAAGAAAGCCAGCTTCCTTGAGTGGTATCTCAGGATCATCAGCCATAGCACTTCCACCATTCAACGAGTAGGTTGATCCCAATGCTTTGCGCAAAAATAAGGAAACGGTATCCTGGTTAACATTTGACCCTGGCTTGCGTGACACCCAACGCGGCATCTTCTGGTGGAGTGCCATGTCTGCCTATCTTCATTGTTTTCGCTCCATACGTAAAGCAACACGTACCATGCATCCTCAAGCTAGGGTCTATGGCCATTGTGGAGGATGCAACGGTACAGTCCACAAGACTCTTAGCCACGCCTTGTGCCGTGCGGGCCGGCACTTTGACCAGCACGGAACGTCATTCACGACGTACCCTAGCCCTTGCCATGCGCGCGGTGCTGATGGTGTGCAGCGTAATGGCGTGACTCGAGATTGGACCGGCACAGCATTTCCAAGGCTCGAAGCGAGGCTTCCCGAGCCTGCAAACTCGATTTGCCTATGAATGAAGCGCGCGTCTCCACACACCTGCCGTCTGACATACATATCGAGCTCAGGCGGATACCTGAGACAGATTTAGCAGAGCAGAAACTAATACAAGGCGTAGAGTTGGCGGTGAAGGTGTCCAGCGCAGCACACCATCATTTTCACGAGGCTCTGCTCTGCAGCGGCTAAACATTCAGAACATGACATTGTTTGGATCTACTACGATTACTGAGCTCGCGCGCAGAGACTACACAGCCGCATTGTGAGTTTGCTCGCCCACTCAAACACTACCGGGTGGCGCGCATAGACTTGAATCACAAACTAGTTTCCAGCCTGGTAGGTCACAATCCCAGCTACTCTGGGTGTCAATATCTAACATCAAGTCAGAACAGCAGGATTTCTTCCAAGAGAGCACCCCAGTCGCTATCTGTGCCTAGTCCGACGTTCGAGAAGAAAACAAGACCTTCGAAGGGCGAATCTAATGCGACGGCTAAGTCTTTCTCGCTGGAGACGACACCTGCAAAGAAGCTAGCAACAAATCCCGCCACACAGCAGAAGTCGATCAAAAATATACTCACCGATTGTATGCCCGTAACTCTAGCGTCTTCAGTTCTCAAGAGGACTCGCGGAAGTGCGCTACCAAAGCCTGATGTATACAATGCGCAACAGGGATCAACAATTCTGCGAGTAACGGCATGTATCCTCCCCGATGTCTCACTACCAGTTTGGATAACGCTATTACAACGCCTGAGGTTCTTCAGGATATTGCTTGACACTATCGACGGTAAAATTGCTCATTGTTGTATCGTAGATGTATGTACTGCAAAGCACTCGCGAGGGGTAATGGTTCGACGACTGTCGAGATGGTTTCAAGTGTAAGTGTTGTAGTTCGAAAGACGAAGATCTGACACGCTTGCACATAGTATCTGCCGTTAAGTGCTTTGACACGCGACGCTCAAGGTAGCTCAAGGTAGCCAGGCCATTTTCGACCTTTCTCGATGTCTTGGAGATATGAATCGACACGACGTCTTCCCTCTCGTGCATATGATGCGTTGAGCCCTTCTGGGAGTCTCTTGGAAAAGCTTCACCTCTTTAGGAACTTCTTCGAGAATATCATCGCTTGTGCAGAGGCTGCAGAGTGATTCGACCAATATAGGCTGCAGCTTCGAATCTGCCGCAAAGCTCGTCGGCACACTCGCTGACGGCTTTGCTAAGTAGACTCATGCGTACCCTTTTGATGCTAGCAAACCAGCCCAAGAAACTGGTTTCTTGTTGGTAATCACCAAGACAAGGATGGTATCTAGAGGTTGCTTTACAGTTTGCCGTTTGTAAATATACCTGCGTCTTGACAAGTCCTAGTCTCGACGCGTGCTGCACTTAGCACGAAAGTTGGCGAAGCAATCGTAGCGTGCATGAGTTGAAGAACGGTGGTATTGGCTTGACGAAACGTTTCGCTAAGTCTTGCCGGGAGGTGTAGTCGATACCCAGGCGCTAGCCTGGGTAACGATATCACCCATGCCAACGACGTTGCAGCACCTGCTTAGTACGCGAGAGTGTTCATGATAACCAGCAAGCTCTTTCGCCAGCTCGGACCCAGGCTTTTTGGGGTCAGTGGTAGAGCGTCCGCTTTGCATGAATCTCATCAGAATTGCGGAAGGTCCGGGCTTCGAGCACCTGCCGTCCAACTGAAGGCGGAACGGCAACTTCATCATCGACTCAACGTGGCCGAGCAAGTTACATTTATATGTTTGCCAGAGTTATCGCCCATGAAAAAGGGTTGCTCTGGGAAAGTGTTGGTGAATACCACTCAAGATGATAATCGTTCAATGAGAGAAGTAGCGCACGTGTATATGAAATAATGCTGATCATGAACGCGCGAGCATCTGGGCTTGCTGTGACTTATGATTTGGGTGTTCGGTGCTAGTACCTTGCGCACAGACCACCCACTCTCAGCCTCGAAAGACCAAAAACATACTTTCAGCGTATCCCCCAGTTGCTCAACAGCATAAGGCAGGAACATCTAGCAAAAAAGAGCAAAAAAGAAGTTCGTTTGGTCTTCAATTGGACGGGCGGGTGATCGAAACCCGGACCTTCCGCAATTCTGATGAGATTCATGCAAAGCGGACGCTCTACCACTGAGCCACACGCCCCAGATGATGAAAGAAGTGAAAAATAGATCGTATATATACTTGATTTCATTGAGTTCACTATCTGGTTGCATCTCATCATAAGACTCAGTATATCATGACCCACAATACTCACATGCAAAGCATTAGTCAGATACTTCCCTTGCTCAAGAGCGTTGAGTCGTGCCGCGTTGGCGCATTGGCATTCTCGGCCCTGGCACCCTGGCACCTTGCGTCAGCCCCAAGACCAACCAGCTGCGCGTCTCGTCTTACCTACACAATTAAGGACACATCAATTCCCACCACTCCGTGTACAATCACTTCGCAATCCAACGATCCACTTCGATTCATTACCTTGCAGAAAAGCCCAGCTTTCACTAAATCTGGACGCGTGGCGCAGTCGATCTCCGGTTGCTCGGCATCGAGCTCGCAAGCTGTCAACAGCTCCACAAACACCACAACTACACACCTGATTGAAACGCAACCATGGGGTCGCTGGGAACCTACTTTCTTGATGTCGTGTACTCGTTCACGAATTGCATGGTCTGCTTTCCATCATCTCCACAACTCAAGATCAACAGCCGGAGCTTCAAGATCCTGCGACTACTCGGCGAAGTATGTTCAGCTATCTCTTCTTCGATAGCATTTCTAACCATGGCTAGGGCGGCTTTTCCTATGTTTACCTCGTACAAGACAATTCGAATCAACAACTCCTAGCCCTCAAGAAGATACGATGTCCTTTCGGCCAAGAAAGCGTCTCCCTTGCGCTCAAGGAAGTCGAGGCTTATTCGCTCTTCTCGCCGCACCCGAACATCATCCACTCGATAGACTACTCTGTCGAAACAGACAAGTCCGATGCCTCCGCAAAAACAGTCTACATCCTGCTGCCATATTACCGTCGAGGCAACCTGCAAGATATGATCAACGCGAACCTCGTAAACCACACAAAGTTCCCAGAGCGCAGGCTCATGGAGCTATTCCTGGGCGTATGTCGGGCGCTAAAAGCGATGCATCAGTACAAGATCAAGGGTGGACCCGGCGGCGCGCGGAGCGAGAACAAGGCAAAGAAAGTGAGGCGCGAAGCGGCGCGAGCAGATGCGGAGGCGGCAGAGAGCATGGAGATGCGACCGAGTAGGAAACACCGCGAGCACGACGATGATGACGAGCAAGAGGCCGAGGGGCTCTTGGAGGAATCAGAAGTCACCATGGCGCAAGAAGGCATTGCGCCAGGTGGGGAGAGGGCATATGCGCATCGCGATATCAAGCCCGGTATGTCCATGCCACTTCACGAGGTGCAACTTTAACAGCATGCATGAGCTAACACATATGCAACAGGCAACATCATGATCGACGACGATGGCAAGTCCCCCATCCTCATGGACTTAGGTTCCCTCGCACCGTCGCCGACACCCATCACATCTCGCTCCCTCGCCCTACAAGTCCAAGATACCGCCGCAGAGCACTCGACCATGCCGTATCGTGCGCCCGAGCTCTTCGACGTGAAGACCGGCTCCGTAATCGACACAAAAGTGGACATCTGGTCGCTCGGCTGCACGCTATACGCATGCTTAGTCGGCAAGAGTCCCTTTGAGTTCCGTTCGGATGAGACGGGTGGTAGTCTGTCTATCTGTGTGTTGGGTGGGGATTGGAGATTTCCAGATGAAGGTCCGCAGAGGGGCAAGGCGAAGCAGACAGAAGAGACAATCAGCGAGCCAGTGAAGGAGGTAGTAAGGCAATGTCTGAGGCTGGAGCCGGGTGAGAGGCCGGATGTGGATGAATTGATTGGGCTGGTCGAGGACGTATTGGGAAAGTTGCCTCAAGATGGCTCAGAGGATTGAGGGGTTTAGTCTTTGGACTGGTCGCTATTGATGATGTAGAAGAGTTGTTCGAGTCTGGAGGAAATCTATCTGAGAGAGGTATCGTCATTTCTTTGCTCATGATTCGGAGGAGTTCGCTGAGCATGAATATACCCATTTGCCAGACAATGCGGCCGTGTAGGCGCGATCGAAAGTGCCTGAAAGTCGCATGAATCTCACTGATGCAAATCAGGTGTCGCGTATTATACACAGTGAATGTTTGCCTGAGGAGTCACCTTCACTGCGTTGCGCACTGTCTGTAGCCGAGCTATCACCTCACGATCTTGACTTTCATTTTCCCATCCCACTTCGTTACCACCGCGTATCCTAGCAAGGTAGACACGACCTCACCAGAGACGGTTCTGCAACAACGGCAGCCATGGCCACACTGTCCGAGCTAGTGATGACTCTCCCACTCGAGCTGAGGCAGTGCATATACCGCTATGCAACGAACGACTCCAATGAAGAGCGCGACATCGGCATCGAGTTCGCGCTCAGCGAGGACGGAAAGGACGAATTTGGAACATTCGTGGCACCAGTCTTGGATGCGCTCGTCAAGATGAAGGAAATATCAAGCGCCATGTACGAGGAAGCTGTTAAGCATCTTACTGGCTTGTCGTTCACCTGGGTCCTTGTCAGCGAGCTTCAGCCACACATGTACCTCCTCCGGGCACTGCGCAAATCATATCCTAAGGATGCCCTTGAGCGCATCAGCCACATTCGTCTCGAGCGGATGACAGTGCTGGAGCATACATCTCCGGCGACCATCAGGATTTTTAGCCACGTCGAAGTAAAATACGGTGTTACCTCAGAATCGCATACTTGCATCATCTCGGCCCAGAGTATGCACTCGACCCGTGCCATTTCGACAAAAGAAGAGCGACCAAGGCTATGGGTTTTCGCTGGTGCCTGTCGTCTTTCCCGGAGTCTCACGAATCGATATCGAGCTCGACATCATAGACTGCATCCATTACAATACCAGCTCAAGCGCCATTTGGAAGTGTCTCAGTCAGCCATTGGTGTTCTGAGGCCTCCACGCGCTTGGGCATACAGTTGGAGATGTGGCTCGGATAGGCACCATTCGCAGCGCCGCTGGGGTTGACATTCACATTGTTTGGAAAGACCTCGGGATCAAGGAGTCGTTCGGCGTATACGAAATCAATGAACTGGTCTTGCTTCTGTTGAAAAAAGCTTAATTGTGCACTGGAAGGCGAAATTGGTCGCATAAAGCATCACAGGCCATTTCTGAACGGTGGGTAAGCTCTTGGAACTGGTCTGCCAGACAGTCCCTCATATACTGACATTACGCAGCCCCATACCAGATCGAACCTGTATTCCATACCCATGCGTCGACTTTGATCTAATGGATGGTCGCCGAGCAGCGGTACGATGCGCGGATGGAGTGAGGAACGCATTCTAGTTTGGGCAATGCAATTTGGGCGTTGATACAGCCGTACTTGGAGCCAGAGTCTAGATTACGACCGAATGGAGAGATTCGTCACGGTGAAGGCTACTTTATGATACGAAGGGGCTTTTACTTCGTGATGCACCGTATATGCCGCCCCAAAAGACTTTACTCTTAGCATGCAGTCTACAGCATATCCAAATCAACGAGTTTGAGCTCTTAATACAAAGGCCTGCAGTACCTCAACAGCTCATAACAACAGCCGTGTACGATTATAGTGTTTTGTAGGACTCCTAGGTAAAGTGGCAAACATGAGACGATATACAACATAGTGTATCGCCAAATGCGAGCTCCTACGTAATTCTATGAGCGTAGCTGCTCACTTGCCCATAGCACTGGCTGTCGCTTGGTTTTACACCTGTACCTTTACCGACACGGGAGCTCGTATGCCATGGAGAGCGAGCTGAAGTCGAAAAATAAGAGAAACTGCCCGCGTGACGGCCACCTTCACCTGTCACAATATGTATTTGGCCTCACCTTTACTTCATATCGCGCTAATGGTAGCGGGATTGCTTATATAGATCTTGTAGCATCTCTGCCCTTCTTCCTCCCAAACCGCCTTACTTCGTCCATCCAACATGGCAGGCTCTACCACTGCCTCCAACGGCTCTCCATCCACCGCAACCGCCATATCCACCTTATTGTCAAAGATCACCTTCTACAGCCTTCCACTAGAGATGAGGCAGAACATATATCTCTTCGCGGCGACAGACTTGTGTAACGAGCGAGAGATTCGGGTTAAGTTCGAGCTCAGCCACACTACCACCGATGGATCCGGAACCTTCGACGCACCAACCCTAGATCTGCTCAGTTCGCTGCAGCAAGTGTCGAGCGAGCTCTATCAAGAAGCGACCGAATATATGACGAGCGCTGTGTTCTGCTGGGTTTTTGTTAGCGAGGCGCAGCCGCATCTTTATATGCTCCAAGCTCTTCGCAAGTACGCACAGGGCCAGGTGCTTTCACGAATCACTCATGTTCGTTTGGAGGGCGTGTCAGTCATGAACATGACTCACCCAGGAGCGCCCGTCATCAATCTGGATGAGGTACCGATACCAGCATATTTCAAGCACTCTCAGTCAGAGTATGCACCCACGGCGATTCCTAACTCGAAAGATATCCCAGACGAAGTCATGCGCGAGATTGGACACGGGCTTTCTCTATTACCACACCAGATGTCATCTTTGCAGCGACTCGACATTGATCTCGACAAGTCTGATTATCTCGTAGATTCCATCTGTCTCGATTGGGTCCTTTACCTATATTTCGTAGAGGGATCTGAAGTTCCATTTTTCCAGGCAAAGCGAGTGATCGAAGATCTGGTAAACCAGTTTGTTTCGCTAGGTGCCATTCCGAAAAGCTGACAAAGTGGATGTCCATATATTCTGGAAAGATATCGGGCTCGAAGGGCGAATCCCCGTCGAGGGCTTGGATGGGCAAGATGTGCTGGCGTTACAGGAATACCTCCTGGCATTGCAGCAGGCTTTCATGGAGACCGTGAAGGAGCGGCTTGTGGCCAAAAGTATCACGTATCATGTGTGATTGGCTGACATCTTCGGGTAAGTCTCTACTGTGGAGAGAAATGCGTATCTTGGTGGACTGATTGGAAATCAGCGAAGCATTACACCATCCTCAGACATCTCTCATGTGCATCATTTTCGACGAAAGGTTGCTGGCGATATTGTGGCAAGCATGGTCTCTGCAGA